TTCACAAGGTCCATGAGAGACAACGCGTTGTACTTCATGCACACGAGTGAGGGGGAGTACATTTGGCTCTTGGTATATGTAGATGATCTCCTCCTAGTCTCACGTTCTCTTGATATCCTCAACAAGGTGAAAGGTATTCTCATGACTGCATTCACAATGACCGATCTTGGTGAGCCGAGTCATTATCTTGGTATGAACATTGTGAGAGATCATAAGTCATGGTCCATCTTCCTATTCCAGCAAAGCTACATCCAAAAGGTCCTTGAGAGGTTTGGTCTTGATGATAGCAAGCCATCATCTACCCCACTTCCTACCAACTTTGTCCCTTTGTCTTCACATCAGCCCTATGAGGAGAGAGAGTCAAGCCTGGATATCACGGGTATTGAGGAGTTGTGTCTTGAGGAGAGTGAGCATCATGGTGAGAATTCACCCAAGGTATCCCCACAAGACCTAGCTCTCTACCAAAGTCAGGTTGGGTGTCTCATGTATGCAACCCTGTGCACAAGGCCCGACCTAGCATTCACGGTATCCAAGCTCGCTCAACACATGAGTGCCCCATCACCTATCCATATGCATGCAGCCAAGCGAGCTCTTCGGTATCTCAAAGGTACTTCTAATCATGGTCTTCTCTTCAAGCCAACCCACATGCAAGCTCCCTCCAAGGCTTTACCGATGCAGATTGGGCGGGAGATTTGAGCACACGCAAGTCCACCGGTGGCTATATCTTCCTTATGTGCGGTGCCGCTGTTTCTTGGCAATCGCGCAAGCAAAGTTGTGTGGCGCTTTCTACAACCGAAGCTGAGTACATGGCAATGACCGAAGGAGCAAGGGAGGCAATTTGGTTACGTGGACTCTTGGAGGACTTGAGGCAGCCGCAAACTCAACCAACTCTGCTCTACGTGGACAACACTTCAGCTATCGCCCTCTCCAAGAATCCGGTTCATCATGGGCGTACAAAACACATCGAGGTGCAGTACCATTTCATTCGTGAGCAACTAGAGAAGGGAGTTCTCGCCGTCAACTTTTGTCATTCGTTCAATCAAGCGGCAGATTTCATGACCAAGGTTCTTCCATATGATGCCTTCAACATGTGCAAGGCGAGAGCTGGCCTCATGACACTTCATGAAGCAGTGCAGCAGTTTGAGGAGAATGAGGAGTATGAGGAGAAGAGACATGGGCAGCAGCATGGAGTGTATGATAAGGAGATGTGAGACGAGCATAAGCATGGGTGTATGTGTGCTTCGGGTCTGGTGCGAGGGGGAGTGTTGGAGAATCGAGATTCTGCCACCCCAGCCCTTTGCACACAAGGAGCAGCAAAAAGGGAATGTCGGCGACGGATCGAAGACTTCGCGGAATATTCAGAAACTTCCGCAACCAATCAGATTTCAGCCGAAGACTCGATACAATTCAGAATTGCTCTCAACAAGAAGTGTCTACAGGTTTCTACAGGTTTCTACAATCCTGAATCAGCTATATCAGAGAATTCTAGAGAATTCCTATGCATGCACCTCATGTGGCTCTCAAAGTCACTCAAGGTCCATGGAAGCAGAATTGTGCCCAAGTTCCAAGGATGTTTCCTTGCCTATCAGCCTAGTTTGAGCTTTCAATCTGTCTTGTTTGTGATGCTTAAAGAGTTGTGCTTTAGTGAGCTTGTATAATCTTGAGGATAAAGTTTTCTCTCATCAAGTCCAGCAGCTCTGTTGACCTCTTCCAACCAAGTTTTTGGGTTGCGTAGCAACCTTATACATTCGTTTTCACTTTTCGGTTGGCTGATGTGAACAGTGAATTTCTCTTATAAATTTTGAAAGAAATCACTGTTCACATAGCTTCCCCAAAAATGTGAAAACAAATGTTTCCAATCATTCCATAATCGTCGATAAGTACGGCGAATGGAACAATTGGAGAATTGTTCTAGCACTAAAGATGATATGGTACCGAATGACACACGAACACAAAGGACAACACAAAAAATACTACAGTACCACCAAGAAACACACATACACAAATGACCACAAAAACGATGGTGTACAAGAACCGTCGTACATGTTTTGAAGGGGATAGTAAATGCATCAATGCAACAACTGAGACTGATATGGTACGGAAGAGGCGAGCAAAGCTGCCCCACCGACGATCACAATCCCAGTTGCATACACGATACACTTAGCACCACACCCCCGAAACAAGCACAGACGATAACACATAAATGATTATGAAAACAGAAGACAACGTTTAAGAATGTTTCAAAGCGGATGCTAAATGCATCAGTGCTGCAACTGAGATTGATATGGTACGGAAGAGGCTAGCAAAGCTGCCCCACCGACGATCACAATCCGAGTTGCATTCACGAGGCACTTAGCACCACACCCTGAAGCACGCACAACACACGTATGCATATGTACGCACTCACACACATACACGCTCACACATATACAGACACACACAACGCAAAAACATACAGCTATTGTAATAAGCATGCAAGCATAATGAATCAATTTCAGCCTTGTATAAATTAATTATCTCTATCTTGTCCCCCGTTCCCCTCCCTCCCTCCCTCATTTCCCTCATCTCCCTTCTCCCCATCTCTTTTCTCCGCAAGAAACAAAGGCTGCAGCTTGGACTCCTTGCACAGGAAAGGAAAATCAGCGAATGCAACTCACTCCCTGCACAAACAAGAACAAAACCAGAGAATACAACTTGCATTAGTTGCACAAGAAAACAAAATCAGAGAATGCAGCTGAAAAACAAAGTAAGCGCAACAGAAATTCACACGCAAACTCCCACGTTCTCTCACGCGCTCCCACGCTCTCAGGGGGGAGCGGCGACGGCGGGGAGGAGGGAGAGGCAACCGCGTGGAGGGAGAGGGGACGGCGGGGAGGAGGGAGAGGCGACGGCGGGGAGGAAGGAGCGGCGACGGCGGGGAGGAAGGAGCGGCGACGGCGGGGAGGAGGGAGAGGCGACGGCGGGGAGGAGGGAGAGGCGACGGCGGGGAGGAGGGAGAGGCGACGGCGGGGAGGAGGGAGAGGCGACGGCGGGGAGGAGGGAGAGGCGACGGCGGGGAGGAGGGAGAGGCGACGGCGGGGAGGAGGGAGAGGCGACGGCGGGGAGGGGGGAGAGGCGACGGCGGGGAGGGGGGAGAGGCGACGGCGGGGAGGAGGGAGAGGCGACGGCGGGGAGGAGGAGAGGCGACGGCGGGGAGGAGGGAGAGGCGACGGCGGGGAGGAGGGAGAGGCGACGGCGGGGAGGAGGGAGAGGCGACGGCGGGGAGGAGGGAGAGGCGAAGGCGGGGAGGGGGGAGAGGCGACGGCGGGGAGGGGGGAGAGGCGACGGCGGGGAGGGGGGAGAGGCGACGGCGGGGAGGAGGGAGAGGCGACGGCGGGGAGGAAGGAGAGGCGACGGCGGGGAGGATGGAGCGGCGACGGCGGGGAGGAGGGAGAGGCGACGGCGGGGAGGAGGGAGAGGCGACGGCGGGGAGGAGGAGAGGCGACGGCGGGGAGGAGGGAGAGGCGACGGCGGGGAGGAGGGAGAGGCGACGGCGGGGAGGAGGGAGAGGCGAAGGCGGGGAGGGGGGAGAGGCGACGGCGGGGGAGGGGGGAGAGGCGACGGCGGGGAGGGGGGAGAGGCGACGGCGGGGAGGAGGGAGAGGCGACGGCGGGGAGGAAGGAGAGGCGACGGCGGGGAGGATGGAGCGGCGACGGCGGGGAGGAGGGAGAGGCGACGGCGGGGAGGAGGGAGAGGCAACGGCGGGGAGGAGGGAGAGGCGACGGCGGGGAGGAGGGAGAGGCGACGGCGGGGAGGAGGGAGAGGCGACGGCGGTGAGGAGGGAGAGGCGACGGCGGGGAGGAGGGAGAGGCGACGACGGGGAGGAGGGAGAGGCGACGGCGGGGAGGAGGGAGAGGCGACGGCGGGGAGGAGGGAGAGGCGACGGCGGGGAGGAGGGAGAGGCGACGGCGGGGAGGAGGGAGAGGCGACGGCGGGGAGGAGGGAGAGGCGACGGCGGGGAGGAGGGAGAGGCGACGGCGGGGAGGAGGGAGAGGCGACATCGGGGAGGAGGGAGAGGCGACGGAGGGGAGGTAAGGAAGAGGAGATCGCGGTGTGGGGCTGAGTGACTGTGAGGTGAATAGGAGAGGTGAAGGTGGGTAGTGAGGGAGAGGATACGGCGGGATAGGAGCAAGAGCGACGGCTGGGTGGGAGAACTGGCGAGAAATTGGGGTGGGGGGAAGGAAGAGGAATAAGAGCAGAGCAGGTGTGCTTGTCGAGTCGAGAGGAACCAGAAAACAAGAACCAAGAAAAGAGCGCAGAAATTGAGTTGGCAGTTGTGAAAGGGACGGATGCCAGCGCAGAGATGAAATTTCTGCCAGCGCAGAACAAGACAATTTCTGCCACCGCAGAACGATACAATTTCTGCCAGCGCAGAACGAAGCACCATATACAGTATACCGTTTTAAGTTAATAATTGGTCTAGTCGTAATTGTAACACACATACGGATATGCGTTATGAGAAAAACCAATTACAGATGGGGAGATCATACATGGAGATCAGTCCGCTCATATCGAGTTTCCAGCACCTACGCAACCCATACGACGTTGAACGTCTTGTCAACCTTCCAGTCATCAGAGCTACTCTGTTTTACAAGTCATCCGCCATTTTAGGTCTCCACTTCAGGGATCCAGGGCGGTGTAATCGACCACAGTAGGCATAACATCGTGGGTAGTGGACCACGTTTCTGGGTCGTGGGGCTTTATCGAGCATATGGGCCCTTGATTGGCTATATCCACGCCGTCCACAGGACAGTACTGTAGATATCCCGTCACGCTTGGCGCGCGGGAAATCGCGGAGACAGTTCCAGCCGAAAGGGTATTGAGAGAGACACCTACCTCCACGCGCAGGTGAAGTCCTATTTCCAGTTCAGAGGGCGAGGTTTGGATTGAACCCGCCCATTTCGCGAAACTTGATGACAAGGGAAGGGATTTGAAGTGACGTGCAGCCCGCATTCAGCTCGATGGGCGAACATGCTTTGCCTTGCGGAACGCGTTCGCTCTCCTTCATCTCCTCGCCTCTTATTTTTACAATCCTCCCTTGGTCGCATTCACGACATTCCCGGCGCGAGTCCCATTCCCACCGTCCTCCCCGCGTGTACCGCCCCGTCCTCCCCGCGTGTACCGCCCCGTCCTCCCCGCGTGTACCGCCCCGTCCTCCCCGCGTGTACCGCCCCGTCCTCCCCGCGTGTACCGCCCCGTCCTCCCCGCGTGTACCACCCCGTCCTCCCCGCGTGTACCACCCCGTCCTCCCCGCGTGTACCACCCCGTCCTCCCCATGCCGCAAACTCCCATCCACACACGCCCTGCCGCCTTCTCCCATCCGTATGCGCATCCGTATTTCCTACCTCAACCCCCCGCTTTCATTCTCCCTTCCTCGTGCTCCCCCTTTCAGTCTCCGTGCCTGTGGTTCCCCCTGATATTCCCTACCGTGTGCTACCTTGATAATATTTCCTACCTCAACGCCCCCCTTTCATTCTCCCTTCCTCGTGCCCCCCCTGTCAGTCGCCGTGCCTGTGGTTCTTCGTGGTGCTCGTTTTGAGTGGGCGACGGTAGCTCATCACATGGCGACCTTTGGCATCGAGGCGCAAGAGTAAGTTGCCTTGCCCTTGTGCGTCCTTGTGCGCCCTTCCGCGCCCTTGTGCGCCCAAATTCGCAAGCTGCGTGTCACTCACCCCTCCCGCTTTCCCCCCCCACCCCACCATAACATCCCTTTCATCCCCGTTACAGTGTAGTTCGCATCATCCTACAGTTCTGCAAGGAGAACGCGCTGCAGCAGACGCTACAGGCGCTGCAGGACGAGTGCCAGGTGCCGCTCAACACGGTCGACTCCCTGGAGACCTTCGCCGCTGACGTCAGTAACGGCCGCTGGGACGCCGTGCTCCCGCAGGTGGCCCAGCTGAAGCTTCCGAGAAAGAAGCTGGAGGACCTGTACGAGCAGGTGGGACCTGTGCGAGCAGGTGGGGCTGGTCTGCTCTAACTGTGGTGAGGCTGGTCTGCTCTTAATGTGCTGTTCGAGAAGGCGGGTGGGTGAGAATGAGTGAGTGAGAGGTGTGTGTGTGTGTGGTGTGCCATGCCAGGTACTGGATTGCGGGAAGTGCACAGGGACAGTGCTTGATCACCGGGTGCAATACATTTTTAATCGTTGCTTTCTCGTCCACCAAATGCCACCTCTCTCCACCTCTATCCACCACCTCTTTCCACGTCACTTCACTGCAACTCTACTCCATTCCACCTGGCCCATGACCCCCTGGGCGGCATGTCATTTTGGAGCTGGCGGAGCTGAGTGAGACGGAGACGACCAATTCTATTTCCAGACAGACGCCCACCATGCCCGACCTTGTCCCACCTCTCTCCACCGCACTGCCACCGCACTCCACCTGCCGCATGCAGATCATTTTGGAGCTGGCGGAGTTGAGGGAGACGGAGACGGCCAAGTCCATCCTCAGACAGACGCCCACCATGCTCGCCATGCGCCAGGTGCGCCTTGCTGTGTGTGTGCTGCGTGATGCCATGCCATGCCATGCTGGTCTGTTGCGTGATGCCATGCCATGCCATGCTGGTGTGTGCTCACCATGCTCGCCATGCGCCAGGTGGGTGGGTGTGTGCGCACATGCCGCGCCATGCGCCATGTGGGTCACATGCTAGCACGCTGGTGCAATGGTTGTATGCATGTACGTATGTGCTGGACAGACACCCGCATGCCAGTACCCTGTCTCTACTGCAACCCATTCCACCGTGACCCCATGTGCTTCCACTGCAACCCCACGACCCGGTTCCAACGCCCCGCCCCGTCCCCCCTCCCCCACTGGGCCGGCGCACCAGGACCAACCAGACCGCTATCTGAAGCTGGACCATCTGCTGGCGGGGGTAGACTATCCCGTGTGACTTCTCTTCTGGTTTTGCTCCCCGTACCTACCACGGTACCCCCCCTCCCCCTCTCCGCCCGCCCACCAGGACCAACCAGACCGCTATCTGAAGCTGGACCATCTGCTGGCGCGGGCATACTTCGACCCCCGCGAGGTGAGCTCGTGCCTCTTGTCTCGTGCCTCTTGTCTCTCGCCTCTCGCCTCTTGCCTCTCTCCTCTCGCCTCTCTCCTCTCTCCTCTCGCCTCTCGCCTCTTGTTTCTCCGTCACTCATTCCTTGCTCTCGTCACGTCACATGGCAACGAGGTGTATGTAAGTCCAGTGTTTCTGTTGCCGTGGTGGTGATTGCATTGCAGGCATACGGGGATTCCACCAAGGAGAGGAGACGAGCAGAGATCGCACATGGTGAGAGGGGCCTGAGATGGTGAGAGGGGCCTGAGATGGTGAGAGGGGCCTGAGATGGTGAGAGGGGCCTGAGATGGAATGGGTAACATGTGCACGCATGGTGGCAATAGTGGCAATAGTGCCATGGTATGCATGATAGGAGCTTGTGGAATGCGAGGAAGGGGCGATGAGAAAAAATCAGCCTATGGCTGAAGTGCATCGCAGTGCATCGCACTGCATCGCATTGCATCAGATTTCTGCTGCTGGTTTACCCCCCTACCCCTCCCTGTATCCACCATATTGCTGTCATGGTGTCTGTCTGTCCCTTGGCACCCCTTCCTCTCCTCTCCACACCTCGTTCCACCGGAGTTCATTCTCTGGCCCTCTCCTCTCGTCTCCTCCCATGCTCTCTGCTCCCCCTCCTCTCCTCACCTCTCCTCTCCTCTCCTCTCCTCTACTCTCCTCTCCTCTCCTCTCCTCTCATGCTCTCTGCTTCCCTTCTCTTCTCTCCTATCATCCTCTCCTCTCCTCTTCTCTCCTCTCCTCTCCTCTCCTCTCCCACCCTCTCCACTCATGCCCTCCTCTCATCTTCTACCCACTTCTTCCTTCTCCACTGTTTTATTCTTCCTCCTTCGCCCCACCTCTCGATCTTCTCACCGTCCCACCTCCCCTCTGCCCACCTGCCCACCTTGTCGGAGTTCTTCCCTTCTCCTTCCTCACTCCTCCCTTGCCCCTGCCTCGTCCCTGCCTTGTGTCCTCACCTTCTTCCCTTCCTTCTTATTCTCGCCTTTCCCCACCTTGTGCTGTCCCCACTCCTGTTCCCCTGTTCCCTTCTGCGTTCTCAGCCACTACCATGAGACGTTTACTCTCCCACACGATGGCTGCCCACAGTGGCGTAGTCACCTAGCTAGCGTAGCCTTGTTGCGGTAACGTTATCCACTATATGAGGCAAACAAGACGAGAGAACAGGTTTGCTATGCTAGGCTAGGCTATTTGTGCTTGGCTGCCCAGTCGCGAGTAACTCAGCGTGCTGGGTTGAGCTCGAGCCGCCTAGGCCTTGGAGTGGCCCTCGCCAGATTGCCTGTCTCCCGAGGTTCCTGAAATTGTCCCCGAAGCGCCCTGTAACCCCCAGTGCTACCAACTTCTCACTACTCTCTATAACCCAACTACCCCACATGCAGATTGAATAACACTCGCTACACCACTTCTACGCCCAATTAGCATATGTCTCCAATATGATGCTCTTACCATTATATTTGGTGACAGTTGTCGGAGTTCTTCCCTTCTCCTTCCTCACTCCTCCCTTGCCCCTGCCTCGTCCCTGCCTTGTGTCCTCACCTTCTTCCCTTCCTTCTTATTCTCGCCTTTCCCCACCTTGTGCTGTCCCCACTCCTGTTACCCTGTTCCCTTCTGCGTTCTCAGCCACTACCTGCCCCCTCCTGTGCTCGTGCTCGAGCTGCTGGGGCGCGAGTCACAGGACTCTCAGCTGAGGACGGCTGCTCTTCAGTCCTGCCGTGCGGGTCTGGTGGTCCCCGGTCTGTTCTCCCTTCTTCTTCTCCAACACTAGCACTCCCACGCCTCGCACTGCTTGCGCCCTCCCCTTCACTCTCCCTATTCCACAGCTAGTGTATCCTTCTTTGCCCCTCTCTTCCCGTCCCACCTCTATAGCCGCCTTTATCCCCTTGCCTTCCTGCTGCTGCCACTTCTCACAGCAGCACGCATCCCTCAACTGCACGGTATGTAGGTCGTCCACCGCCACCGGTATCACCTCCTGCAAGTATTCCGCTGCCTTAGCTCGCTCCCATGCCGCCCGGTTCTCCGCCTCTTCCATTGTATGGTCTACCTTTTCCCCTGTTGCTAGGGGCTCCCATGCCCCCACTTCCTTACTCTCCCGCTCTGCTTCCCCCAGCAGCTCTGGCCTTCCTCCCCGCAGCTTCCTCACATGCCGCTCCGCCAGCTTGTTTCCCTGCGCTTGCATCCAATCCTTCATCGTCACACCAGTCTTCGCCCCCTGCCCCGATTTCCCCCGAACAACTCTGCTGTCTTCAGCGATGGCTGCCAACCATTCCCTCCCATGTCTGTACTGCTCAGCCCCGTCTTCCCTCCTTTCTTCACCGCTCCCTCCTTCTCGCCCTTCCCTTCCGCTTCTTCTGCTGCTGGTACACACGCCCTTGCCCCCGCCTCTTCGTCCCTCTCCTCTACTTCTACTGCTGCCATTACACCCACTCCTGCCCCCACCTGCTCGTCCTTCTCCTCTGCTTCCGCTGCTACTGGTACGCACGCCCAGGTCCCCTCTCTCTCATTCTTCCCTTCCCCTTCTGTTGCTGCCCATTTCCTCACCTTTTCATCCTTCCCTTCAGTGTCTGCTGCTACTAATTCGCACACTCCTGCCTCCTTCTCCTCGCCCTTCTCTTCCCCTTCTGCCACTGCCCATGCCCTCACCTTCTCGTCCTTCTCTTCCCCTTCTGCTGCTGCCCATGCCCTCACCTTCTCATCCTTACCTTCAGTGTCTGCTGCTACTAATTCACACACTTCCTCCTCCTCTTTCTCGTCCTTCTGTTCCCCTTCTGCCACTGCCCATGCCCTCACCTTCGTGGCTCGCTCCTTTCCTCTGTCCCTGCCCCCACAGCGCAGCCGCATGGCGTCACTGCGGCACAGCACTGCGACACAGCACGGCACAGGAATATTCTGGCTCCTGCTCCCCTTCCTCCTTCTCTTCTTCCTCACTTGCATACAACTCCGCCTGCCTCTCTGTCCTTCCTCTCAGCTCCCGCCCTTTCCTTCCGTCTCTGCCCCCACTGCGCAGCCCCAGTCCCTCACGGCTACGTAACGCCAGGCATGTGTACTCTGGCTCCTGCCCTTCCTCCTCTTCTGCTCCTTCTTCCCTCGCGTACAGCCCAGCCTCTTTCTTCTTTCTCCCTCCCAGGGCCTGCAGCTGCGCCCGCAACTGCCTTATCTGGCTCTCCATCTCCTCTGCTGACCCTTCTGTTCCGCCTGCCCCTTTATCGCATCCCCTTGCTTCATGCCCCCTTTCTCCGCACTCCTTACATGTCGGTGCCTCCGGGCAGTCCCTTCGGCGGTGCCCTGGCTTCCCACATGCATCGCAGTTCCTGCAGTGCATCCTTATGTGCCCCGGCTGTCCACACCGGTAACAGGTGCATGTCTCTGCCCTTTTCTCCGGCCTGCTCTCTTCTCCTGCTCCCTCCCCTGGTATCATCGCCGCTGCCCAGGTAGGACTCTTCTTCTCTATCGTCCTCGGCAGGTATACCTCATACTTCCTCTGCGCCAGCTCCACCCTTTCCGCTAACTCGAATACCTCCTCTGGTGTTGCATCTACTCCTAGCTCATAGACTCTCATTCTCAACCCTCCTGCCAATCCCTTGTCTAAACCATTCAGAAACTTGCTAATGACCATGCTGCTGTCCGTGCACACCACGTCTTCCGCCAGGTTCATTAACCGTCCGTAGTATGTCAGCAGTGACTCCTCGTCCCCTCCGCCTAAACTCCTGGAATTCCCTGATGCGCGCTGCCGTATGCCCAGGGAACTGCTTCCTTAGTCGCTCCAGGAACAGTACCGTCGGGTCCTCGTCATCCTCTTCTGCCCTCCACAGCCATTCACCCATCTTCATGCGATACAAAGTCTCTGCTTCCCCTCCCAACGTGCTTGGCAGGTTCAGAAAAACTCAATCGGGTCCATCCCGCTTCTGTCACATCGGTATTTAACATTGCTGATCTGCATCAAATAGTTCTTCAGACTTGGGCCGGTTTTCTCGTTTCCCGTGAAGCGTACTGGCACCTCCACTCGCGGCTGTGCTGTTGCCCCCCACTTCCCTGTTTCCCAGCTCTCCGTCCCTCCTTGCTCAGACATCATAACCCCTCTCCTCCTTTCCCTTTCTCCCCTGCTGCCCGTGCTGGTTCCATACAGCACTCGCTCTATTCCCTCCCTAGCTGCTCTTGCTCCAGCAGATCCTACGCCGTGACGCCCCGGCCTCCTCGGGCCCATCGGGCTCCTCCCTCGGGCATCTTCTCGCTCCCCCCTGCGCCTCTCTGCATCTTCCTGACGCTTCTCTCCCCTTGCAGGGGACCGCTCCTGGTACTGCCGCACTCTGTCCTCTCGCTGTCGCTCCTTCTCTGCTGCCCTCAAGACTTCTGGTGTCCGCACACCTTCTCTCTTGCCTCGCCAGTCCTCCTCGCGCCTCCACTCCCTTCCTCTTTCCGGTGAGTCCCACCTGTCTCTTTCCTCATAATCTCCGCACTCTTCCCAGCCTCGGCGTTCCTGATCCCGTTTCCCCGTTTCCCCGTTTCCCCTTTTCTTCCTGCCTCTTCACCCCCTTGGTATCGCTCTCCTTCGCCCCTCCTCTCACGGCTCTCTCTCTCGGGCCACCTTCTTGCTTCTTCGCTTGTTTCCTTTGCAGCCCTTCTCTCTGCCCACAGGTGTTCTTCTGCTTTCTCACGGCGCGCTCCCGCCTGTTCCCTTGAGGCGCTGGGTGGCGATCGTATGCTACCCCTGCCTCGCGCCTTCTCCGCTGGCCGCCGCCTCCTTGCTGGCGAGTGCTGAACGCGCTTTCCTTCGTAATCCTCGTCCTCCTCCTCTTCTGACCATTCCAGCGATCTCCCTTCTCCCATCGCCATACGCCTCCTGCCCGCACGGCCTTGTCCTGGCTCGGGCGAACGATACACTCCTGCTGGTGCAGCACGCCTCTTCTCCTCCTCCCCTCGCTCCCTTGACCAGGGCTCAGCTGCTTTGCTCTGCTGCGCCTCGCTTGACTCCCGCGCACCTCCTCTGGCGCGCGATCTGCCTCCGCGCGGTTCCCCTGGCGTTTCGTGCCGCCCCCACCCATTTCGTCGGTCGCGCCATCTGCCTCCGCGCTCCCGCGTCACCTTGCGCCACTCCCACACACTTCGTCTGTCGAGCGATTTAATCCCGTCGCCTCTCCGCGTTCTTCACGTTTTTCTCCACGACGCCTCTCGCCTGCCTTGCGCATGTCGCCCAGCGAGTGATCTTCTTCCTCGTCCATGGGATCATCCTCCGCCAACTCCTCGCCGTCGGCCTCCTTTGCCAACATCAGCGAGTCCGTCTCATCGGCATCCTCCTGACGCCTTACTCCCGCGCCCCGCTGGCCTCTTGCCAGATCCCAGATCCCAGATCCCAGATCCCAGATCCCAGGGATCGCTCTTCGACGGCTCCCAGGGATCCCAGGGATCGCTCTTCGACGGCTGGGGTCCTGGCGCCCATCTCATCTGCAGACCGAGCTCGCTTTTGAGTCGACTCAAAAGGGTCCTGGCGGCCATCTCATCTGCAGACCGAGCTCGCCTTCACCGTGCAGTCCGTCACTGGTCGCCATCCAATCCGCCCGATCCGCCTCTCTGCTAGGCGAGCGACCTGGCGATCTTCCCCGCTCCTTTGAGCGCATCCTTCGCGACGGCGGTATCTCCCGCCGCGAGTACGTCCGCTGCCACCGCAGCTCATGGCAGTCCATACTGCCTATCTGCTTCTCTCGTCTTGTGAGAAGTTTACTCTCCCACACGATGGCTGCCCACAGTGGCGTAGTCACCTAGCTAGCGTAGCCTTGTTGCGGTAACGTTATCCACTATATGAGGCAAACAAGACGAGAGAACAGGTTTGCTATGCTAGGCTAGGCTATTTGTGCTTGGCTGCCCAGTCGCGAGTAACTCAGCGTGCTGGGTTGAGCTCGAGCCGCCTAGGCCTTGGAGTGGCCCTCGCCAGATTGCCTGTCTCCCAAGGTTCCTGAAATTGTCCCCGAAGCGCCCTGTAACCCCCAGTGCTACCAACTTCTCGCTACTCTCTATAACCCAACTACCCCACATGCAGATTGAATAACACTCGCTACACCACTTCTACACCCAATTAGCATATGTCTCCAATATGATGCTCTTACCATTATATTTGGTGACAACCTGCCCACCTGCCCACCTGCCCATCTCCCCATCCCATCTACCCATGCACCACCAGGCCTATCGCAGGAGGTGACTGTGGTGCCCCCCTCGCGTCTCATGGTGCTGCTAGGCCAGGCGCTCAAGTGGCAGCAGCACCAAGGTCAGCTGTCTCTGTCATTGTACCATGCCGCCCTCTTTCCACTGCTTATACCATATTCCTCTTCTCACTCTCACACTGGTGCCCCCCTCGCACCTCATTGTGCTGTTACGACAGGTGCTAAGTGGCATCAGCACCAAGGTCCGCTGTTCCTCTCCGTCCTTGTGACATGCTTCTTGTGTGCCATGCTTCTTGTGTGACAATGCCTGTGCCATGCCCCTGTCGCCATGTACATAAATCATGCTCCTGCTGCTACCATTTGCCTTGTGCCATGCACATGCCAGTTTGATCTCTTCCGAGGAGAGGGACAGCAGCAGTGAAGGCTGCAGAGGAGGACGACTTGTGAGACGTCTGAAGAAGCAATGTCTCTGTTCCCGTGCATGCATGCATGCATGCAGGTCTGCTTCCCCCCGGCACGCAGTTTGATCTGTTCCGAGGAACAGCAGCAGTGAAGGCGGATGAGGATGAGGCATACCCCACACAGCTCCTGCACACCATCAAGGTGAGAAGAAGTGGCTTGACCCGGGCCGAGCAACAAGAGCTCCAAAAGTTTTTTAAGGACTCCTAAAAACGAACGAGGTGTACCCCACCCACACAACTCTTGCATACCATCGAGGTGAGCAGAAACGGTTTTGACCTGCAGCAGGAGTTGACTTGCAGCAGGAGTTGACTTGCAGCAGGAGTTGACCTGCAGCAGGAGTTGACCTGCAGCAGGAGTTGTGCCAAGGTTATTCCGCCCTCCCACATGTTCCCCTCGTGTTTCTTCACGAGTCCGCTTGCTTGGTTCTCATCCAACCACTCTCATCTCAACTCACTTTGAAAGAAAAACCGCCTTGAATCACCTCGCCTGCTTCTACCTACTTTTCTCCCTCGTTTTGCTGGCCCATCCCACCCACCACCACACACTCTTCCCTCCATTTCGGTTCCTTATCTCTGCCTGCGCCACCCTTCCTCTCTCCTTCTCCTCCCTCGCCTCATGCAGTTTGGAAAGAAGAGTCATCCCGAATCGGCTCGCTTTGCTCCTGACGGCCAGTGCCTTGCGTCCTCCTCCATCGATGGATTTATCGAGGTGTGCGTGGATGCAATGCAGTTAGAGTGGGTGCAGTGCGGTGAGAACGGGCGCTGAGCTTGCAGTTGCCGTGATTCATTGGTTTCATGCAAAAGTGCATCGCGGGCCACTCCACTAGGCCCTCCCCCACTAATGCTCTGGCACATTTCATTTGTTCTAGGCACCTAAGAACTGTCTCATTGCGTCCAGGCCCTCACCGCCAGTGCTCACCGCCAGTGCTCACCGCCAGTGCTCACCGCCAGTGCTCACCGCCAGTGCTCACCGCCAGTGCTCACCGCCAGTGCTCACCGCCAGTGCTCACCGCCAGTGCTCACCGCCAGTGCTCACCGCCAGTGCTCACCGCCAGTGCTCACCGCCAGTGCTCACCGCCAGTGCTCACCGCCAGTGCTCACCGCCAGTGCTCACCGCCAGTGCTCACCGCCAGTGCTCACCGCCAGTGCTCACCGCCAGTGCTCACCGCCAGTGCTCACCGCCAGTGCTCACCGCCAGTGCTCACCGCCAGTGCTCACCGCCAGTGCTCACCGCCAGTGCTCACCGCCAGTGCTCACCGCCAGTGCTCACCGCCAGTGCTCACCGCCAGTGCTCACCGCCAGTGCTCACCGCCAGTGCTCACGTCCATGCCGTCACCGCTGTGCTCTGTTCTCTATTTATTTCCTTTCCCAACCCATGACTTGCTTTATCTTCACCTCTTTCCGGAAGCTTCATTTAGATCCATGAACCTCCATGAACCTCCATGAAGCTGCTGTTTCAATCCCCTAATTGCCTTGGTGCCTGCCGCCCCCCCTCCCCTGCTCCCGCACTATCCCCATGCGTGCATGCATGGGCAGGTATGGGACTTCCTCTCAGGCAAGCTCAAGAAGGACCTGCAGTACCAAGCCGAGGTGGGTGGCTGTGTGGCCATGTGCGTGCTAGCATGGCATGAAGGCTGGAAACACCTGTAGCGTCAAGTAGTGGTGGTTGGTTGCATGGATGGTTGAATGGGTGATGGCATGGGTGTGCCCAGTGCTGCGTGCATCAGCAGTCTGGCTCTTGCTTACAATCAACCACCCCACCCCCGTCCCACCCCGCCCCACCCCGTCCCACCCCCAGGCGACGTTCATGATACACGAGGAGGCAGTGCTGTGTGTGGGGTGGACTGGTTTAGCATGTCATCTTAATGTGTTCCTGCCCCCCCCTCCCTGCCACCCCTCCCCCAGGCAGCGTTCATGATACACGAGGAGGCAGTGCCGTGTGCATCAGCAGCCTACCTGCCAGTAGCCATCTCATCCCACCCCACCCCACCCCATCCCACGCCACCACACCCCACCCTCCAGGCGACGTTCATGATGCATGAGGAGGTGGTGCTGTGTGCCAGAGCTATGTTGCGCCTGATGCGTCAGGCGTTTTTGACGCTGGCGTCTGGACGGGGCGTCCAGACGCTTGACGCCCGGTGCCCTCTGCCCTGGACGCCCGCTTGACGCTAGTCCGGGCAGGGCAAAAATGTTTTCCGGGCAGGGGTAAAAAAACCTGCCTAGTAAGGATACGCAGGGGTTAGAATGCAAGAAGTTAACATTTGTCACCTATAGTTATAAATACTCCATAATATCCAGAAAATCCTGAAAATCTCCAGAAGGCGTGGAGGCACTAACAGAATGACTGGCGGGACTAGGAGTTGACATGATATCTTAATCGCCTTAACCTAATTTTAGCTAGGAAGGCTTAGTAGCGTGACTGGCGAATTCTAGTGTAAGGAATTCTTGACAATGTCGAGAGAAACAGATCTGTGTAATGTCGGCCTAGATCTGGTTCTCTAGTTTAGTTGGGGGTCGACCAGGTTGGGAGAGGTAGATGTGGATGGGTACAAATGTGTGGGGGGGAATAAGTGAGGGTTGCGTTTTTTAGGTCAAAAACGCGGCCCCCAGATGGCAATTTCATCGTCAATTCTGGTCGCAATGAAATTGCGAGTCAATTTCGTGCAGGATAATTTTTTTTTCGGGCTGCCCGAAATTTTTTTTCCCGAACGTCCAGCGTCAAACCGATTTGACGCGTCCAGCGTCCGGACGTTCACGTCCGGACGCTGGACGCTGCCCTTCCAGGGCGTCAGGCGCAACATAGTGCCAGAGTGCGCTGTGTGTGTGCATGAACCAACCTTCCACATCCCACTTCACCCCACCCCACCCCACCCCACGCCACCCCACCGTCCAGGCAACGTTCATGATGCATGAGGAGGCAGTGCTGTGTGTGGGGTGGAGCCGGGACTCGGAGATGCTGGCCTCGGGGTCACAGGACGGCAAAATCAAGGTGACCAGCTTGCTGGGGTTGGGTTGGGTTGGGTGAATGGAGCATGCTCATTGCTCCCTGTTGCATTGCTTTGCTGCTTGCCTCGGGGTCTCAGCATGGCAAGATCAAGGTGACTGGCGCGCGGGCTGGGTGCATGGTGCATGGTGCATGGTGCATGGTGCGTGGTGCGTGGTGCATGGTGCATGGTGCTTGATGTGTGGTGCGTGGTGCATGGTGCGTGGTCCATGTTCCTTGCGGCATGTGCCATGGTGGCATGTGCCATGGTGGCATGTGCCATGGTGGCATGTGCCATGGTGGCAGGCATCCCGATGCCATGGTAATGCACGGCCCCTTCTTGTCCCTCGCAACACGCATCCCTCACGCCCTCCTCTCTCCACCCCCTTCTCTCCACCGCTAACAGGTGTGGCGGGTGCGCACAGGGCAGTGTCTGAGGCGCTTTGACAAGGCGCACTCACAGGGAGTCACCTCGGTGGCGTTCTCTCGGGATGGCAGTCACCTGCTCAGCGCCTCCTTTGATGGCACCGCCAGGTATGGCGCCCCGTATTGCTGTCTTCCGTGGTAACTTCAGTTGTGTTATCATCCATATTTCACGCTCTCTCCCTCTGGCTTACTTCCCCAGGGTGCACGCACGGGCTCAAGTCAGGCGAAACCCCTGTCTCAAGGAGTTCCGAGGGGCACATGTCTTTTGTCAACGGTGCTGTCTATTCTGATGCTCGCCATGTTGCCATGTCGAACTCATGCCCTCCCTCTGTTTCATGCTCTCCCTCTCTTTCATGCTCTCCCTCTGTTTCATGCCCTCCCTCTATTTCATGCTCTCCCTCTGTTTCATGCTCTCCCTCTCTTTCATGCTCGCTTTCCCTCGTGCGCCCGTTGTTCAGGGTGCACGGGCTCAAGTCAGGGAAGACCCTCAAGGAGTTTCGAGGGCACACCTCTTTCGTCAACGATGCTCTATATTCTGCTGATGGTGGTCGTGTTATCACTGCCTCCTCCGATGGCTCTGTCAAGGTGATGTGAGGTGCAGTGCGTTGATATGAGGTGCAGTGCGTTGATATGAGGTGCAGTGCCAAGTGTGTGTCATGTGAGGGAAAATGGTGCTGCACCAGCGAGAGCGTGAGTGAGGATGGGTGCGTGTGGACTTTGAATCCTCAACTACACTAACCTCAATACTCGATTAAACACTCATCTGTCCCAATCCCTCCCCACCTCTCCTCCTCACCCCCTCGTCCCTCCCCACCTCTTCCCACCCATCCTCACCCCTAACCCAACCAGGTGTGGGACGTCAAGTCACTCGAGTGCTTGCACACGTTCAAGCCGCCACCACCCCTCCGAGTGAGTCGCCTCCCATGCGGCCCTGCCTATCCCTGTCACGCCCTCTCAGCCCTGCCTGTCCCCGTTCCCCCTGATCAGCCCTATCCAGCCCTGACCCTCAATCCGTCCGTTTACTCATTCTCCTTGTTGAAAAGATAGAAGTGATGCATTGAATAATGAGCCAAGAGGCCCTTTAGTACAAACAATGAGCAAGAGAGAGATGAGAGGGAAGCTTACCCTATTGGCCAATAAGTTGGCCAATGGGTGAGCTTGCTTGTGGCCCAAGCAACCACAAATGTGTGTTGGTTGGGATCGGTTGAGCTAAGGACCAATCCCAACCAACCACAAAATGTGGTTGGAAGGTACACTGAACAACCCCCCAATTTATGAATGTGCTACATATTCAAGTCTAGCCTATGTATGTTGTATAAAATATGAAATTACAACACTCCTGCCCCATCGTTCAGCTGCACTCCAGTCCCTCTGTGCCCACCTTCTGCAGTTGACTCGAAGTCAAAACATTTGTCTAAAAAATCGACTCAATTCTTTCCTCCACGCATTCCCGTTCCCCATCGTTGATCCGCACTCCAGTCCCTCCTGCCCACCCTTTGTTTCCCTAGAGCTTGCAAACGTATCGTATCACTCATCTACGTCCTCCCCTCTAGCCTCCATCTCTACAGCTCTGTCTCTCTGTCTCTTGCATGTGCTGCACCGTTTCTTTCCTCTGCACGGCGGAGACGCGTCAGTCATCATCACATCACAGTGCTCCTCTCCCCCCCCTTCCCCGCAACGTCGACCATGTGGTTGTGTGCAACCGCTCCTCCTCCATCTTCCATCTTCCCTTCTTCCTCGTTTTTGTTCCCCTGCAGGGCGGAGACGCGTCAGTGAACTCGGTGCTCCTCTCCCCCCCCAACGTCGGCCATGTGATGTGATAGTGCGCCACCGCCCGTTCTCCATCTTCCTTTTTTCCTCGTTTTTTTTCCCATTCCAGGGCGGCGACGCGTCAGTGAATTCGGTGCTCCTCTCTCCCCGCAACGTGGACCATGTGTTTGTGTGCAACCGCTCCTCCTCCGTGTTTCTCATGACGCTGCAGGGCCAGGTGGGTGTGAGGGAGGTGGAATGTGGGGGAGGTGGGTGCGGTGGGTGCCATGCTGTGCCTCATGCACCCGTACCCATGCACCCGTACCCATGCACCCGTACCCATGCACCCGTACCCATGCACCCGTACCCATGCACCCGTACCCATGCACCCGTACCCATGCACCCGTACCCATGCACCCGTACCCATGCAGCCATGCACCGATCGGCCTGTATTAATCCATCCACCCGGGCGCCACTGCACCCACTCACCTACGCTATGCACCCATGCATGTATCATGTGGTTCGTATTTTCACATCAGGCAAGAGGGAGGGCGGTGATTTTGATTCTCTGCCATGTTACAGAAGGTTATTCCCCATGCTACCCCATACCTCCCATGCTACCCCGTACCTCCCATGCTACCCTATACCTCCCATGCTACCCCATACCTCCCATGCTACCCCATACCTCCCTTGCTACCCCATACCTCCCATGCTACCCCATACCTCCCATGCTACCCCATACCTCCATCCTACCCCATACCTCCCATCCTACCCCATACCTCCCATGCTACCTCCCATGCACCCATGTACCCATGTACCATACACCCATGCACCCATGCATCCATGCATCCATGCTCTCATCAGGTGGTGCGGAGCTTCACATCAGGCAAGAGGGAGGGCGGTGACTTTGTGGCGGCGTGCCTGTCCCCCAAGGGCGACTGGATCTACTGCATGGGCGAGGATGCGTGAGTGCCTTCGTCACTGCATTGCACACGAGTGCTGACTTGATTTGACTGCACACGATTGCTGACTTGATTGACTGCACGAGTGCTGACTTGATTTGACTGCACACGAGTGCTGACTTGATTTGACTGCACACGAGTGCTGACTTGATTTGACTGCACACGAGTGCTGACTTGATTTGACTGCACACGAGTGCTGACTTGATTTGACTGCACACGAGTGCTGACTTGATTTGACTGCACACGAGTGCTGACTTGATTTGACTGCACACGAGTGCTGACTTGATTTGACTGGACACGAGTGCTGACTTGATTTGACTGCACACAAGTGCTGACTTGATTTGACTGCACACGAGTGCTGACTTGATTTGACTGCACACGAGTGCTGACTTGATTTGACTGCACACGAGTGCTGACTTGATTTGAATGCACACAAGTGCTGACTTTGACTGCACACGAGTGCACTGTGTGTGGTGGGTGTGAGTGCTGCTGCTCCCCCCCGTGCCTGTCCCCCAAGGGCGAGTGGATCTATTGCATGGGCAAGGATGCGTGAGTGGTGGCATGGTGTGTGCACCAATGTGTACCAATGTGTACCAATGTGCACCCATGTGTACCAATGTGCACCCATGTGTACCAATGTGCACCCATGTGTACCAATGTGCACCCATGTGTACCAATGTGCACCGGTGCCCATGGTGTGGAGTGCACTGGCTGGTGGGTGTGTGCACTGCTGCCTCTCCCCCTGCCTCCCTCGCAAGGCTAGTGTGTATCTCTACTGTATGGGCGAGGATGTGGCAGTGCTTGAGTCGAACCGGATTCACATAACGCTTTCACTGCATGGGCGAGAGTGTGTGAGTGCTGGCTGAGGTTCATCAGGCAACGACAAGTCATCAAGGAGCACAGTGACTGCTTGCTGGGGTGTGGTGGACACGGCAACTCGCACCAATCCTTTATCACTCCACTCTCCTCACCCATTCTCCCTTCTGCACTGCACTCCGGCTCTGCACAGCACTCCCACTCTGCACTTAATCCCCCCCGCCGTTGTCACTCCCTCACTGTCCTATTTCACCTTCTCTCCCCTTTTCTCCCCTCTCATGCTCTCTGCTCCCCCCTGCAGCAACATGTACTGCTTCAGCTTTCAGAGTGGCAAGCTAGAGCATCTCATGAAGGTGTGGTTCTCTCTTTGTGTGTGCAAAGCATTGCGTGGCACCCACAGCATCGAGAAGCATTCACCTCAGCACATTCATGTGATGAATTTCTTGTTGAGACTTATCACTAACTTCACTTCGTACCCATGTGTGGGCATGTATGTGCATGTGCATGTGTGTGCATGCGTCCATCATGTGTGCGCATGTGAGCAGGTGCATGACAAGGATGTCATAGGCATCACCCACCATCCCCATCGCAACCTCATTGCAACCTACAGCGAAGATTGCACCCTCAAGCTATGGCAGCCATAGTCAACTCTGTCTTTGAGGCACCTCAAAATAATCCAGTCTCCCACTTCAACTCCACTGAATAAATCACCCTAGGCCCTAGGGTGCTTCTTTTAGTTCTTAAATAAAATGATTGGGTGTTCACAAAAGGTTAAAAAAAACACCCGCTAGCTGCGCACTGCTACAAATGCGAACGAACTTGCATGATCTCGAAATACTTCTGCCTCGTGAACACACTTCAGTTATACCCAACAGATGCCATTCAAGAACTGTGACGTTCGGCACAATGTGATGGTTGGGCTTTGACAGACCAGATCATAAATGTCTGTTTGCTTGTTTTTAGCGGTTGACTCAAGAGTCTTGGCAATGCCAGCAGCACCAACCAACCTGTGTGTTATAAGGTTTTGGACTAGGTATGTTCAGGACCTGCGGTATACTACACAGGCGCTTATGGTACGAATAGATTCAAACCTGATGATGGTGTGTCACTTCGTGTTCAGGCTGCATGATTGTGATGGTGATGGAGCTGGGCAACCGAATACGAGCCCATGGCATCTCCACGCCCATCCCCGTGGGGAGACGGCACTCTAGCCAGAGCGGTCCATGCCACGTCAGCATCCTCGTCGCCCTCCAGCAGGGCAAGGGCTGACGCCACTGACGCACGCAGCTCGTCCAACCGCGACTGCGATGCTGAGAGGCACGTGTGCTCTAGTAGCACTGACCCTAAAGAAGGTGGTTGTGACATTGATGCAAAATGTGACTCTTCATCTGATTTCATCGCTGCTGCTGCTGCTGGTTCAGGTAAGTGTGGGAGTGCTATTGCTGCTGCTGCTGCTGCTGGCGCTGTGCCAGTTGTTGCTGACGTGTCTGGGACAGTGAGGGTGTCAAGAATGGGCCAAGCGGCAGAGAGGGCCTCGGCCACTCGTATTCTGACATTTGGCACGTTGTCCTGTGGGGAGACAGTGGGATGGGTAGGCACAAGAGGAGGGGGGTAGAATGAAGATGAAAGGCAGGTAAAGAAGCGTAAGAGCAGAGACACAGAATGGCAGTGTAAGGGAAAAGAGAGTTAAAACCCGCGGGCCAAGAAGTTCAACCTTAGGAAGGTTGGTTGGGGGTGAAAACGCTATTGGCCTGCGAACCAATAGGAGTGTCTAAAATGTGAGATCGAGGTCTAGAACCCGGGAATGATCACAGGCGTTTTTGGGACATCCAACCAACACTAGGAAGGATGAACCAATTTCAGCACTAAGAGCAAGGCAGGATGGGTTTGAGATGGGAGCAGGCTTACATAGACGAGCGGGAGGAGGAGAGGGAGGACGGTGGAGAGGAGGAAGGCAAATGCGTGGAGATGTGAGTTGGGCTGACAGGGGAGGGCTATGGGAGGAGAGGAGGGCGTGTGTGCGGAGGGGTGTGTGTGTGTGGTGGCAGGAGGAAAGGAGTGCGCTGGCGAGGCAAGGATAGGCGCTGCCAGGGTTGGCCCGATGCAGTCCAGCAGCTCCGTACAGGCTATGCCGAACCTGCGAATAGGTTTGACAGGTTCGGAATGGGGGGAAGGATGATCAAATATGGCTATAGCGCAGATGCGCGTCAACTAAATTAGCTCATAGCCTCTATAAGACAAGGTTATACGTTCATACGTGTACATGAACATATGCAAACGCTACGGTAAAGCCAGAAATCGAGATCAAGATTGATGGAAAGAAGAGACGAGGGGAAACAAGGGGGGTCATCGATGAGGGGAGTGAGGGGATAGGAGGGAGCCGAGTAGAGAGGAGGAAGGGGAATGGGAGAGAGACGTACGTTTGTCGGTCGTGGAAATTGCGACTGGAGGCGAGAGCAGCCAAGGCAGAGAGGAGAGTCTGGGAGGCCGATGCATCTGAGTCAGGGGGGGGAGGGGATCGCGATGGCCGGGCTCCTCCCGGGTGAGCGGCAGGGTGGGGATGAACGCCCTTCACAGAATCATCATGGGGGTCCTCAGCAGCGTCATCAGGGCTCACTGCAACCGTATTGGTGGAGTGAGGAGTGGCAGCAGAAGCATGCTGGTGATCGTAATAGTGACCGTCCCTGGTGCCAGTGGACAGAGCATGTTCACTCACCCCGTCCTCCTCACCCCCCCTCCGCGCTTCTGCCCTTGCTCTTCCCACTATTACTCTCCTGGCTAATGCTCCCCCCACCCCCGCCCCTTGCTTCCCCCTCTCCATGCACTGTGCTGCTGCTGCCTGGTCCACCGCGAGGCTCGGAAACATACAAGTCAGCGGCAAGAGGCTCGGCACAAGAGGAGCCAGTAGACTTAGGTTCAGCAGATAACGACTCAACGGGATCGCACGTGGCAGATGCACATGAAGTAACACATTCTGCATGCTCTTTCAACCCTCGTCTTGCTGACGTGGCATCAAGTGCTGGTTCGTTTGTCAGCGACGAGTGGCATGCTGACGTGGCAGGTGCTGATGACACTGATGTGGCTGCTTGCAATGATGCTGACGTGGCAGCGGACAGGGTAGTGAGGGTCAGCAACTTGGCAGCCTGAAGAGAGTAAGGCGAGGGAGGGGCGAGGAATGTGGGTGAAACAAAACAAGTGGGTGGGTGGTGGTCCAAATATGAGGAAGAAGGAAGGGGGAATGAAAGACGAAACGAAAGGCAAGGGGGAAAGACATGAAAGCGAGGTGTGGGATCAAAGAGGGAGGAAGTCAGAGCAGAAACTTCGAGAAAAGCCCCAAGCACAGACTCATGCAGAGCGGCCAGCATAGCTCGCGTAACCGTAAGAAGGATGGGGTACACAGCATGCAAACCGTAACCATAACTGTAACCGTAGCCGTAACCCCATCCTTCTATAGGAGCCCAGTGCCCCCTCCCCCCTCCTCTTCTCACCTGTCTGGCTGCCTCCTCCCGGACGGTAGCGATCCGATCCCTGCATGCATGCAGGGCATGCGCGTGAACAGTGGTCATGGGGGAGGGTGGGAGGAAATGAGAAAGAAGCAAGGATGAGGGTGGGAGAAAAAAGCAGAGTAGCGATGAGGGAGTAGTGCGGGTAGAGGAGCAGTGCTTTTCAGTTGGACCGGTTGTCACCTGCACTGGTTGTCACCTGCACTGGTTGTCACCTGCACTGGTTGTCACCTGCACTGGTTGTCACCTGCACTGGTTGTCACCTGCACTGGTTGGCACCTGCACTGGTTGGCACCTGCACTGCTTGTCACCTGCACCAGTTGTCACCTGCACCAGTTGTCAACTGCACCAGTTGTCTACTGCGCTTGTAATCCTCACTGGGTTACTTCGTGTCCTGGCTGCTACCAGCAGCAGTTGTGACCTGAACCAGCTACCACCTGCACTCATAACTCACACTGGGTTGCTACTCGTCGTGGCGACTACCTGCATCCGATGTGACCTGAAACAGATACCACCTGCATCCTAGGTGACCTGAAACAGATACCACCTGCATCCGATGTGACCTGAAACAGATACCACCTGCATCAGTTTGCACCTGCAGAGGGAGAGAGCGAGGTCGATGAGGAAAGGTAGGGCGGCGCTGTTGGGTGGCAGCAACTGCGCCACTCCTGATGCTTGGCTGGGGTGGTGGGGAGGGGGGAAGACAGGGGAAGAGGGGGAGAGAGGGGGAGAGAGAGAGGAGAAGAGAGAGTGAGAAAAAAGTAGACGGAGATGGTAGGGAGGAGAGAAGGTACACCAAGTCCAGTGAACAGGGAGTGCAGCCATGTGTCCTCCGTTTCCTGAGTGGAGTCAGCGAGTCAGCGAGGCCCCACGGGTTTGGAAAGCGGGTGAGTGGGGACCCTGTAGCTACAGCCTACACGGTTTCACCCGCCCTGGCTGTATGGGCAACTGTACTCACATGAGTGCAGCCAGGCGGAGGTGCCACCTGCTGCCAACACAGGGTGCACTACCTCTCTATTTCCTAGCAGGGATTTCCCAACTGTGAGGTCAGGCAACAACCTGACCAGCTATACAGCCGCCCACCTGAGAGCAGCAAGGTGCATGTGCCAGCTGCTCTCTCGGCCGGCCACAATCGGGTTGCTGCCAACACAGCCCACCTGCTGGTGCGTGCATCGTCCTCACCCCAATTCTACATCCAGGAGTACAGCCGCCCACCTGAGAGCAGCGAGGCGCAGGTGCCAGGAGCTCTCCCGGCCGGCCACACGCATCTGCGGGCGCACGCGGTTGCGGCTGGGGAGCGCCCTCAGCTGCACCTGCACACTCGGGTTGCTGCCGCCCAGCACCAGTGGCCTCGGCGAATCCGCTGCCGCCACGTGGATGCGCACTGTGTTGGGCGCCGGCGTGCCCACCTGCACCTGCAGACGATACTCGCCGCCCTGCTGGCCGCTGCTGGTGGGTTGCTGGTGCAGCTGCTGTTGATCGCTGCTGCTGCTAAGGTGCTGTTCCAACGGCTGCTGACTGCTGCTGCTGGCGGGTTGCTGCTGCAACAGCTGATGAAAGTTACTGGTAGACTGGTTAGACTCCTCGAGCTTCCCCGTGGGAATATCATGATTTGGTCCCTCCTCCACATCCTTCCCTTCTCTTCCTCCTTCATTCCTCTCTTCCCTGTTGCCTTGTTCCTGCTCCCTTCTCTGACTTCCTTCCTCTCCCATAGATCTGTCGTCCTCCCTGCATTCGTCCCCCTCAAGCTCCCCCTGGTCCCCTCTCAACTCAGCCTGCGACCCCTGCACTTTCCTCTCCGCTTCTTCTGCTGCCTCTGCCCCCTCTGCCCCATTTGCCCTTTCTGTCCCCACTGCTCCTTCTTCTCCCTCTGCCCCGTTCCTCTCGTTCCCTCTCCCACTCCCCTCGCTCAACCTATTTTCATTGCTCACACTACCCTCAATCACACCATCACCACTAGTACTACTGCTCTCACTCCCCTCATTCAAACTATCATCACCACGCCCCTCACTCCCCTCATTCACACTATCATCCCCACGCCCCTCACTCCCCTCATTCAAACTATCATCACCACGCCCCTCACTCCCCTCCACATCCCCCCCTGCACACTCACGGCCCACCTCCTCTCCACCGCCATCCAC